ACCAGAGGATGTACACTGGTACAGATAAGAGCTGGAAACACAAGGAATCCAGGGCAGATAAACCCCTCAGGACCAATAATGAGAGTAGAGATACCAGGAAGGTAAAGGGAAGGTGGGGGAAGAAGGGGGAACCAATCACAATGATCTACATATAACCCCCTTCCTGGGGGACAGTTATTGAAGGAAAACTGTGAACAAAAATGGGGTGGGGGACAGTTATTGAAGGAAAACAGTGAACAAAAAGGGGGTGGGGTGAGGGGGAGCTCCAGTCTTTCCACCTTCAACCACCTTTAAAGATAAAGTCTAAATTTCATTTTCATTTGACCTTGGACATAAAACAAAACCACCACCACCACAAGCTATTAAGGCTGATAACTAGACTTAAAATGCAATGTCTAAAAGTGTACTTTCCTTCAATTAAATGCACCCACCATGCGTTTAGGGATACCAGTAAGGAATACCAATATTTGAAAATAAATCTTGAATCTTTAGGGATACCAATAAGAAATAGCAATATTTGGAAATAAATGTTGAACCTTCAAATCAGGATTTGAATCTTTTCATCACTATTATAAATTATACTTTCTTCTAAGGTAATAAATAGCACCTTCTCAGATGGACGTACTGCAGCAACCACCCTAAATGGACATGAGTATTTGAATCACAATATCTTTTAAAGCTCTAGGACAGGTGAAGTGCCATGCTTCAGTCATTATATTAATATTTCAATAATGCGGATAAATGCATAGCTACAAAGCTAGCCAGCATGAACGCTATGTACACCAGAGCCAGACTTCTTGGGGAGTCTGGTATCTACCACCTTATGTTTCAGCTATTCGGTGCAGCCTCCATTTCTGGTGATTCTGTTCTGTTCTTTAGGTTTCATTCTTTAGGTTTCATGATTAAGTCAAGGCTAGGTCTTATCATTAAAAAAAAAAAATCCATTCACTTTCATTTTAGGAAGCGATCCAGTTACATATCTATTTTTAACTATGTCACTGGTTGTTCCTAATTTTTCCTTTCTTTCTGCAGTACTAATGTGATTTTATGTACTCTTAGGCAACAGGTGCATACATAGGCATCAAATCACATCTGGTCTGTGTGTCACCTAGGTCCCCTGGTAGCGATATCAGGTAAACACTGAACTGCTACTTGAAAGGTCGGTGTTCAAACCCACCAACCACTTTGAGTAGAAAGGTGGCTCTCTACTCCTGTAAAGATGCATAGCCTTAGAAACTGTCTTCGGGGGTCTTTGAGTCTGAGTTGACTGCACAGCAGTAGTGCTGGTCAGATTTACCAATGGTAGAATTCTGGTTCTGTTTCAGGTCCATTCTGTCCTCTAAGAGAGCTAGGATATACCATGCGCCCCACCCCACCCCCCCGTCCCCCAACTACTTGATGACTAAGATCAAAAGCACAGCTTTGGCTGTTGGAATGAGAAGGCTCCAGGTGACCAGGCAGCTGAACGGTACCCACCAGGAGTTAGAAGTACATTCGTGAATTGGATCTATCTGAGTTCGCTGAGTATTTACAGCTCCTTTTATACTTCAATACCTATTACCTCAATTGGTTCGTCATTGGGCATCCTTCAAACAGCCTTTCAAACTCTCCAAAGCAGTTCTATTCTGCACACGGGGGCTTCCCTAAGTTGGAATCAGTGGCGACTAGCAAGATGCCCTTGAGCATCATTCTGGGTACCGTGTGAATGTCTCAGACATGGTCCTACCACGTTTGGTTTTTTAATGAGAGAGTGAAGGTGAGTAGGCTTCACACAGTTCTTTCCACGACTTAATTGGCCCACTTACTACTGGACACAGTGAGAGAATAAGCATTAGGCTGTTACCCACAAGTCTGGTGCTTCAAACCTACCAGCTGCTCCTCAGAAGAAAGTCTTCGCCTATAAAGCGTTACAGAGTCTCAGGAACCCTGTGTAGCAGCTCTGCCCTGCCCTAGAGGGTTGCTATGAGTCCATTTGGGTTTGGTACCTAGTATGCTTTATGCTCATTTCCAACTCCACATCTGCAAATGCTCAAAATCTAAAAGATATGTGTATTCTGTTTCTACATGTTGCCAAAATAAAAACTTAAAGAGCTTTTATCTAACTTGATTTTAAATCTGATTAATAGTGATTTCATTCTCAAAAACAAAAGAAACAATAACAACAATCACAGAACGAGAAAACGCTGCTGAGGCGATACCCAATCTCTTTACTTCTATCCAGGCTAATGTTGGACTACACAGGGAAAAAATGTCTATGCATGGTGCCCCCATGCTTATAGAAACCAGAGTGCAGGAAATAGCGATCATTTTATGATAGAAATAATTACTGTTAGGATCAATCACTTGTGCGATACATACAATGTATACGATGTCCTTTGGGAAAATATGACAAGAAACACCCAAGATGCTGTTAGGGAGGCCTTTCTCCAAAAACCCCATTGCTGACGTTGTCCGATTTCATTCTCCAGTTTTCACTTTCTGCTTGCCTTCCCCGTATGAGGAGAGCCAATTCTACATCGTTCCGGAATATCACGTTCAGTTTGAACGAGCAATAACACGTCTTCCTGTAACACGGGTTATCCTTTCCAAGTAAATGGTCAGACAGAATGGCCCATAAAGTGCATTTCAAAAAGAAGCGCTCAATAGAGAGTCATTTAAAGTGCAATGTATAAGATGCTTTGAAGAGTGCAAACTTGCTGTGCATTACATTACATGCGCCAGGCCCAAAGGAAGCAGGATGCTATCTACCCCTAAGCTAGAAACAACAATGGAGATACACTTTCATATCTTCAGTCCTTTGCAAGTATCCATACTTGTATTTTGTTCTCTTTGTGTGTGTGTGTGTGTGTGTGTGTGTGTGTGTGTGTGTGCAAGAGGGAAACAAGGCGAAAGACACTGGTTGTGGTTTGTGATGTACAGCACTGCTTGATCGTTTGTGCAAATGTCTGAGAGAGGTTTCCTAGATTTCGAACTCTCTGAACACTGACAGAACTGCGAACTCCGCACTTCAAAGCAGCATTAGGCATGCAGTAACGGCTGAACTATTTCAGGATGCACTGCTCCTACGTCGGGCATTTGACTGCGCACTAAATGCTTAATGAAAATTACAAAGAAGATGATAACGAGGATGCTACCCAGAGAGACCCCTATGAAATAAGCATATGACTCCTCTTGCTCATATTCTTTGGGCTTGGTCCTACCATGGAGGGGTGTGGTGCTCTTCCCATCAGGAGTTGTTCTGGGAGCTGCTGAACGGAGCAAGTCCTGGACCTTCTGGAACGATCCATTGTGTGGCGTGGCGGTGATATCGAGGAGGTGGCACAACAAAGGGTACAGATCTGTGGAGTTCATGGATTCTTTTGTGAAATTCTTTCTGAAGGCAGGCCCTTGGGCTAAAAATATTGGATGCATTTCCGGCAAAGCATTATCGTAACCGTGGTTGCCTACTGTGGAGAGAAAGTGCATGTGTGAGTTAGCCAGCCAGCATTAAAATGGACATCGTTCTTGCATGGGCAAGTTCTGAAACCAAATGTAAATTTTATCTGTTTTGTTTTTAAAAGTCAAATAATATGACAAACAATCCCTGATGTTGGCAGCATTTCAGTTCCCCTCAGGAAATGGAAAGTTCAGCCTTAACCCATAAGCAGCACTGAACAAAAGCGATACAAGCAAAGCTTAGCGGAACATCTTCCCCTTAGCGGAACATGAAAGTAATCCTTTTTATGTAGGGGTAGAAAGAGGTGGCTGGTAAACTAAGATTCAGTGAAATACTGGTTAGTACCTACCCTGTTCTATTTCTTGTTCTAAGGATAAAGGTACTCTTCATCCCAGGAAGGTAGTCAATGCCTAAATTCATAGCTACTGATCAACGAGAGAAAACCCAAACCGAAAACAACAGAATCCACAAAATTCCAACCTCTCCTTGCAGCAGCTATCCACTAAGAAAGGGCAAAGGTGAGGACTTGTGGGAAACATTGACTCTCGAGGTCTCGATCAGGGGCCAGCTTAGCATCACGTGCTTCAGTGTGGCCACAGTAATTAAAAAAGAAAAAAATCAGGAGTCTTGTGATGCAGCATTGAAGGGAGAAAAATCCTGCATTTGAAAGGCATATGCCCAGTGGGGTATCGGGATCAAGAGCAGAGGGACTACTTCTACGATGGCACCCTCCGAAAACGAAAACATCTAATTTCCCATGTTGGGAGTTTCCAATGCAGCTTCCATTACAGTCTGAATGTCTTCTACAGCTAGTCGGTGGAAAGCACCCCCAAATAACCTCATGAGCTTTTAGGAAAGTAGATTTTGACATACAGGACCCATGCCAAATGTATTTCTCTCTACAAATGTCTCCAATGTGTCCAGTAGCGCTGGCCTGCCTTTGGTAGGACCCATAGGGCAGAGAAGCCGGAAAGCTGTCTGCAGTTACCTGCTGCAAATAAACATCATGATGACATTCGTATTGAGCTAGAATATAAAAAAATGGAGCCCATCCGGCTCCTACATTTCAGTGAAGTTCTGCGCAGGAGCGGAACAGACGTAACTATCAGGGCATGTCACCACACGTGCATCTCTGGCCTGAATGTTTCGAGAGACATCCGTCCCAAGGACTCTCCCTTGGCTAAGAAGCTGTGACACTCGTTATCTGACCAGTAAGAGCGTTACTCCCCTTAGTGCGCACAGTAGCAAAAACCACCGGCGCCTGGGGAGAAGCACGGTGATATACTCACGCATGAAGTCCTCTGACTTATTCTGTACCACATGCCACCCTTGGTCCGCCACTGCTATGATGGGCTGAATCCGACGGTTGTATCTGTAATGCCACCTCTCCGGAATCTCCTCTCTCTTGTACACAGTCAGGTTAGGATGCGCATGAGCTAGAGTTTCATAGACTTCATCGAATTCACCTGAAGGGAAGGGAGGAGAACTGCTCTGTGGAAGATGCTCATTGGTGCCAAGACACAACTATGTGGAACCCAGCTGCTGCCGTCAGGTGGATCCCAACTCACAGGGACCCTAGAGGGCAGAGCAGAACAGTACCCGCACGGTTTCTGAGACTGCGAAGCAGGAGTGGACAAGATCCAGCCCATGAAATCAGCAATGCCGGCTAGCATCACACGTCTCACAATAGGATTTCCAGCCGTCACTTCAAACTCACCACCATCAAGTCCATTCCAACCCATAGCAACCCTGTGAGACTGGGTAGAACTGTCCCTGTGGGTTTCTAAGGTTGTCAATCATTAAAGGAACAGAAAGTCTTGTCTTTCTCCCAAGATGTGGCTGGCGGTTTTGAACTGTTGAACTTGTAGTTAGCTTACCCATTATGCCAATTGCACAAACTTCAAACTCACTGCCATCGAGTCCATGCAGACTCACAGCGCCCCCTGTGGGTTTCCGAGACTGTCATTCTCCCTCGGAGCTGCTGCTGGTTTCAAACTGCCGACCAGGCAGATCGCAGCCCAACGTGTAACCTCTACAGCACCAGGGCTCCTTGTGAAATGGGAGATTTCTCAAAGCCCTGGAGGTGTTGCCAAAGCCCTCTCAACAACTTCAAAAGCAACCAACCTGGGCCCTCTTTCAGCCTTTCCTTATTGTTCCAATTCATCTGGTGGTGCTTCTCGGTAACAAAACACCCGTACGATTCACAATGGAAAGAGCAGGAGTAATGTGAGTGCTCTTAACATAAAAATTGCCATTTTATATCAAGTGTGCCGCATATCTTAACATCCATTATTTCATGTTTCTCTTTAACTCCCTAGTGAGGGATAAAATTCTCATTGGGGAGGTATTCCAACTTCCCCAAATCCATTCTGAGACTTGGACCATCCGACTGAGGTGACAGCGACTCACAGTGACTCCATGGGCCAAAGGGTTTTCCTGGCTGTCATCTTGACTTTGGGTTAGCAGCCCAACTGCTTGTGCCAATCCAGAGCCACCCTCCAAAGTTATGAAAACAGGAACAGCTTTGAATCATGCTCGACCACTTAACTTTGGGAATCAGGGGTATTAAAAGTTTTTAACTTGTTCACCTGTCTTTAAAGGCTGGCAGTTTGAATTCACAAGCGAGACTCACTGCCATCGAGTCAATGCTGTAACCTAGTAACCTATAACCTACTCCCAGAAAGACCCTCAACTCACTTCCCTCAAGCTGATGGTGACTCTTAGTGACCCTACAGGACAGGGTCTACAGGGTAGAACTCACAGGTTTCTGAGACTATAAGTAATCAGGAGTAGAAAGCCCGTCTTTTTCCTGTGGAACGGCTGATGGTTTTGAACTGCTGACCTTGCAGATTACAGCCTACTGCATAGCCACTGTGCCATCAGAGCTCCAACCTAGGAAACGCTCTAGGGCATTTCTACTAGGTCACATAGGGCTGTTATGTGCCAGAATGGAAGAAACACAATAATCACCACCTATCTTTAAAATGAGGATACTATCTTGGTGCTGGGGGTGCTATGAAGATTTGAGGAGAGGCTTATAAAACATTCTAGGAGTATTCATTATTATCTCTATTTAATAAAACAACATCAACAAAAACAAGCAGTTGCCACCAAGTGCATTCTAACTCATGGTGACCACATGTGTCCGAGTAGAACTGTGCTGCTGCACAGGGTTTTCCATGACTGTGCACTTTCAGAAACTGATTGCCAGGTCTTTCTTCTGAGGTGCATTTGGATCAATCTAAAGTAGCGGTTCTCAACCTGCGACCCTTTGGGGGTCGAATGACCCTTTCACAGGGGTTGCCTAAGACCATTAGAAAACATGCAATTCCTATGGTCTTAGGAACCAAGACTCGGCTCCTCTGTCTGTCTCTCCAGGCGAGTCCGCCCACCTGCAGATATGCCCACAAACAAATACCCGGTGTGAAGACTGTTATCCATGTTACACCATGTTGCAAGACAACATTTCATTTATTTGTCATTAGAAATAAATATTTCACAATATATAATTACATATTGTTTTTTTGATTAATCACTATGCTTTAATTATGTTCAATTTGTAATGATGAAAATACATCCTGCATATCAGATATTGGCAGGATGATTCATAAATTAGAATGAGCAAAATTAGAGTTATGAAGTAGCAACAAAAATGTTATGGTTGGAGGTCACCACCACATTAGGAACTGTATTAAAGGGTCGCGGCATTAGGAAGGTTGAGAACCACTGATCTAAAGCATCAACCTTTCAATTAGTAGCTTTTAACATTTTGTGTCACCCAGGAGCTCTCTTTATGTATAGATAAGGAAAAGAAAGTTTACGTGAACAGAAGTCTCATGTCTGGTCCATAACTCTTTCTCTTGCCTTTATACTGTTAGGATAATATACTTCTTACACACTCTCCTTCCTATATATTGCTTCCCTATTAGAAAAGGTTCTAGCCCTGGTGGCATAGTGGTTATGTGTTCGGCTGGTAACCACAAGGTAAGCAGTTCAAAGCCACTGGTCACTGAGGGAGAAAGATGAAGCTTTCTACTCCTGCAAAGAGTCTCAGAAACCCACAGGGTCAGTTCTATCCTGTCCCAAAGGGTCAAATTAATGGCGGTGAGAACCAAGTAGGCTACAGAAGCCTGTAGGTCTCCCATGAAATTGCTATAATTAATGCAACTTTGTATTTATCTTTCCAGCTTTTTTTTTTTTTTTCAGAGAAAGGAGACTACAGAGTTCATTATCGCATGATTCCCAAAACGTTTAAACCTGCTGCTACAAATACATTGTTGCTCTTGTCTTGGCGTCAGGGCTGACTTGGACAACCCCATGTGTGCACAGGAGAACCACTTCATTGACCTTTCATAGCCGTGACCTTCCGGAAGCAGATCTCCAAGTCTCCCTTCTGAAGCACTTCTAGGCAGATTTGAACCGCCAACCTTTAGCTCTAGTTAAGTGCTTAACCGTTATGTTATCTGGAGGGCATTACCTACAATATTTTTTGAAAATGGAAACATTTTCAACTGGAGAAATGGGTCTCTTTCCAAAAACTTAGGATTAAATTCCAGTGTAGTTCCATGACACAGCATATACGTTTTACAAGAAGAGATACAACATCCCTGTTACGTCATCCTCGTGCTGTACCATCTGTAGAAAGACAGGGGAAATGCACTGCTAGCCTTAGATCACCGCTGGGGACAGACTTACCTTCTTTTGGCAAGATCGCTGCTACTGGAGATTGGTCAATCAGGACATAGTGGTCTCTGTCCAGATACTGGTCAAGCTCGATTATCCTTTCCTCTGAGCACTGTGTCATCCCATGGTCACTTGTGATGATTAGATTCAGAGTCCCCCACAGCTTTGCCTTTTTCAGCATTTTAATGAGATAGCCTAGCTTGTTGTCAATATCTGAAATGACGGTGCCCATGAGTGGACTGTCAGGTCCCAAATGGTGACCCATGTCATCTGGGTCTTCCCAGTAAAGAAGACCAAGATTAATAGGCTCTTTCGATGTAAACCACTCAATAATTTTGGCAACTCTCTCTTCAAATGGAATGGACTGGTTGTAAGGCATGTAGCGAGTAGGAAAGGTCCCATGGATTTTCACGTCTGTCCCAGGCCACATTGCTGCACCACTGCTGTGCCCTGCCCTTTGGTTTGTGATCCATATTGGTGTTGCTGCTTCCCAAAACTCAGAATCGTAAATGTCCATGTGATCCAAGGAGAAAGACTTGTTCAGAACAGGATCAAACATGTCATTGGAAACAATCCCATGACTCTCTGCAAAGAGGCCAGTTACCATCGTGTAGAAGTTAGGGTATGTCTTTGTGATAAAAATATTAGTAACTTGCTTCACATGAACCCCATATTTCATAACAGAGTGAAAATGGGGTGTTGGAACTTTATACAAGTAATCCCAACGGAATCCATCAAATGCAACTAGCAGAACCTTTGGCTGGTCTGGATGGAGAGATGATGTTGTTGGAAGTGCCCATGCAGCAAGCAGGAAGGGCACCCAGAGAAGTTTCCAAGTCATTTTCAAAGTGCTTGATTGGCGCAGCATAAAATAATCTGGAGAACAAACATATACAAGTTAATGGCAACAACTGTGCTCTTTATATTTTTCCTTTATATTTTCCCTTTAGCCAGCCCACTTATATCATAAATCACAGCCTGGAAGAATCATGTTTCAGAACCCCATTTTATACTGAAGACCTGGGGTATCTGTCTAATCAAGCCAAGAAGTTGAGTGGCATTGTAAAAGCTTTTTATGCTTTCCGCAAGTCTGTAAAAACCATCTCCTAAGGAATTATTTCAGTAAATTCCTCAGTAGCATTCAAAAAGCAAGGCTTGTAATACAACTTTTCAGGAA